CAGATAACATTTTTTTTTCTCACACATAAGCAGCAAGCTTAGCCTGGCTCAGGTGAGAGCAGAAGAACAATGAGCCACAAGCTCCCTGAACTTAAATGCCCCCCCTTTTGAAGATGTTTTCAGGGAAAATGCTTAGCCATGCTACTCGATGGCCAGAGCTATTTGCCTCAGTGTCGACAGTTATGTGGTGACATTTTTTCACCTTCTCTGTGTCTGTGGACACAAGTGGGATTATTTATAAGCTTATTAAACCATAAATTCTGAACCAGTGTTAGACAATGAGTAGGAGGAATCTATTAAGCTGCCAAGTTGCCAAGCTGATAAAATACTGAAGATAAAGGAGGCAATCAGCCACCTCATGCCTTGATGAGCCATATATTTTCCAAATCACTGAAGACTGTGTAGGTGAAGTCTTTACATCAAACATAGGAGAGAGAATTATTTGAAAATACAACCACTTTCAGTACTGACACCTGTATAGCCTCTTAAGTTTTTGTGGTATGGTTGAAATGGTTGAAAACTCCAGAAACCTGTGAATGTGGAACTAAAACAAAAATAGTTTTGTAATAAGATGAGGGATAAAAGGATAACCTAAAGCCTAATGCAACAGAAACATTAGAAGAACGTCAGAGGCGTGTGATTTTGAAACTCCTGGTAACAGTTTTTTGAGGTCACCTGTCAGGTAGAGAAATGTTTCACAGGCTTTCACAACCTTGTGAATGGTCAAATCTATTTGTATTCTCCTAGTGGTAACAAGAAAAGAGAAAGCCAAAGCAAGAAAACATTTCCCTCCTCAATCTATGATTTAAATAGAAGGCTTCATCTGTCTACTTACCTTTACCTTTCGCAAAAAAGTTGCAAATCAAAGATATAAAAGAGCCACACTGTGTGTCCAAGGGTGACCACATCCGCCCACCAGCACCATCAACTCCCACTAATTAGCACTTCATCTATTTGCCTAATATAACAAACAACGTAGAAAAGTCCTCATGTTTCTGAGTAGTGGTAGCCTTTAAAGCTGTTGCCAAGTAACTAACAGAGCTTTAATGAACATACCTATTTTCTGATCTAAGAAAAACTCTTAGTTATTATTTCTAAGTCCTCTGTCAGCACAAAGTACTGAGATAAAATATGTTGATATGGTTCCAATAGCTTGGTATAATCTTTTAAGCCACACATAGGCCTTAAAGACTAAAAAGTGTTTACAACTTCCAGTCAAATGTGACTAATGTGACAATTAACTAATATCATCTGATTTTATATGTTATTCAGAAACTCTGGCTACAAAGATGAAAGGAAATTCTCCTAACTTATCACAGCATGAGGATTTTAGTTATTTAGATGCCCAGTTAAGGAGTTTGACATGAATCCCTGTTGAATTTTTAAAATGGAGCCTAGGCGGAAGTTCAACTGAAGAAACTAATTGCTCTCCTACATCCACCTGCAACACAGCCAATCAGCTTTGAACCACACCTCCACGAAAGACAATCGGCATCCAAAGTTCATCTTAAAAGGCCTCAAATACGCACCTGTTGACTCCTGTGCGCAGGCGGCTGATGCGCTGTGTGACTTCATTCAGATGACACCGTTTTCAACCCACCTCCAGCTCCTCCTCCACCATCGCAGCTAAAGCTTCATCAGAGTGTCACTCCTCCCAGACTCTACTGCGTTCCCTGTCTCATCTTAACCAGTCCGGCAGAAGACCGCCATGTTGAGCCTGGTTCTGCCAGAGGTTTCTTTCCAACGGGGAGTTTTTCCTCCCCACTGTTGCTTCATGCCTGCTCATCATGGACAGGTTCTTTCAACCTGTGTTATCCAACTGGATTTCCATCTTCCAGGTCCCTGAGAGAAGCTCTAGTATCAGCTCACACAGTCCACTGGATCTCCCCATGAAGCTCAGCATACCGTCTCGCTAACCAGCAGTCTACAGACTGACCAACTTCATCTACAGTATCTCCACTCCACCACCGGTTTCAGGCCAGGGGGGAAACAGCCCTATTCTTTGCTCCAGTTCATGCATATCTATCAAAATGAAGCGCTATGTTTCCTGCCAAGGTCTGAGCGCCAAAGACAAAGTACATAATTGTATCAATAAATTTCTCCTAATTGTCTTTTCACTTTGTGTGAGTTTTTCAGATTGAACTGATAAATTATTATATTGTAGCATCAGAATGTAAATACAGCCTTGTTGTTGGTGTCAGCTGGGCATCCCCTTTCTACTGTAGGCTCAGAGAAAATTGTCAAGAGAGAAAAAGTATCCAGTGGGCAGAAGATGTGCAAGTAAAAAGGCCTATGCCTAGGGCATTAAATGCAGCAGCAGAAGAAGTCACAAGGGTTCTGTTTCTGTCAGCTAAAAATGTGAATTTGGTGGAACTGGTTCTTAACATGACTGTACAGTTTAAAAACCTGTTGCAGCAGTGACACGGTGTCATTTCAGTAATGTGTCTGATATTATTTTAAATCTTTTCCTCTACAACGTTAGTGCTAATATTGTTGAATGCTTTGCACACTTGCCCTACGATAGACTGGCGACCTGTTCAGGGTTTACCCCGCCTCTCGCTCGTAGACAGCTAAATTGTGACAGAAAATGAATGGATTCTTTGCGTACATTAAATGGCTGTTCTATTGATGTCTTCAATTTCTCAGAAATCTGGTCACATATATCAAAATATTTACTAGCTGTTTTATAATTCTGGGTAAAAAACTAAAGTTATTAAATTTACATTATCAGAACTTGCATTTACCCCGAGGTTTGTGTAAACACTGATTCCCAAGGTGTGTAATTTGCCTTTTTACCAAGTTACCTGCCACTGTAAGAAAAACCTATTTAACAACTGCGATGCCTGAGGTTGACATCATTATTCATGAAACCCATCTGCCTGGAGAAAGCTGTATTTATTTATTTTTTGGCAATAATAAGATTGAGCAGAGAAAAAAATCTCCAATAGCAGCATCAATTCATCTGCCAATTTGTTCTTCACGCCATCCAAGGTGCACACACGGTAATAGGCTTACAGTTAAAAAAGCAGATTCTGCTCAAAAATTTTCATATGTATGTAAAAACTTTCATATGTATATGACTAAGAATCTAAGAGTATAACTTCAAGTCAAAGGCCATCTAAAAAAATTAGCTATGACCTCATGGCTTCTGTTAAATTGTGTAATTTTTTACAGCTTTGTAATTAATGTAAGAAGGAAGGATTTGTTAAAAAGAGATGATTAGGGAAGCAAATACAGGCATGAAAACAGAATTCTGTAGCAGAGGGGATTTTCACGTTGCGGTTAAGCTGTGCTTAATAGAACAGACTCTTTAGCATACCCAACAAATACTGGCTGGAATATAAAAATATTGTTATAAACTCATTAATGACATTTCCATGTTGACATCAATACCCCCAGAAAAGGTTGTGGTACTATTGTTTTTCAAGATGAGATAAGATAAAAGTCAATAAGATAGTCAATAATTTCAAAACATTTAAATTTTCACATGAAGCTATATATTATTTTATGTACCTGCCAGTCCTCCAGCCCCATAGCATGACATGGTGACCCCCATACATTTTCTGTTTAACTGTGTTCATACGTTTCTGACCTTTATTTTTTTTTTTCATCTAATGTCTTTATGATAAGAGGCTTTAATTTATTTTCTTAAGACCAAAGAAATTAAGGTAAATGTAAATGGTCATTTTGCATTTATTTTGCTGAAGAAATAATGGCTTCATCACAATGTTTTTATCATTTGTTCATGGGTTGGGCCGCACATTTTGTTAATGCTGTGGAAATCGCAACCCAGACTGAATCAGACAACTCTAAGTCAGTATTTTAGCACACAGATTATTACAGAAGGCTAATCTAGGTATGTGTAGTTGAGCTGTGAGTTCTTTTTACAAACCTGATAACTCTGTATTTCCAAATTATGTTCTTTTTCTTTAAGACTTGAAGTTTGCACTTTAATTTATAATAAAAAAAAAAAAAAAAAACAATTGAAATAATTAAATTCAGATGATCAAATGTAATGTATCAATTGCCAGATTCTATGTTTGTAGGGGGGAAAAAAACAATCTTGATAGTTCAGAGCAAACATGTCATGTTACTTGCTTTTTAATTCTCTCCAAAAATCCACTAAGACTGTGTATTTATAATGATTCAGCCTAAAATATGACCCAGCGAGCAGTCTTCCTTCTCTTTGTTGCTTTTTGACACAATGAGTTGTTGTTTGTTTCCTGAACTAAATAGAAATAATTGAAAAGCTGGTGTTGTGCTCCTTCGTTGTTTGCACAGTACAGTTAATAAGTTGTGTGTCAATGCCAAACTGCAGTTTAACGAGTTGAGTCATCCTGGCTGTTTTGTTTGTACAAGCCATTTTTTTCCCTTGCACTCATGTGGCTGTTCACTACTCAATTATTATCTGATGCAGTCTACTGATTCTTTATTCAGGACCAAATTGTTTACAAAGCAATCAGAAAGTGTCAGTCTGTGTTCAGGAATGATTCCCTGATGGGCTACTCTTTTTTTTTTATGTGCAAAGTGTGTGCAATCAGAGGGTTGAGTATCTATATTACAAAACCTTTACCAGGGAATCATCAAGCAGGCAACATCTAGCAGACACATATTCATTAGGAGAGCTGGCAATGTATATAAAAAAACAGCTTTATTTATTACAGAATGCATATATGTCTAAGTTAAGCGCATTTTGATACTGTGGTTGCGTTAAAGGACTGGTAAGCCATGTTTTAGAAAGAAATAAGTGCCAGTATTTAATTTATACAATACAAATATGTGACACACATAAGGGTAACAATTTGATACAGATATATCAATATTTTTTGTACAGAAATTATGAGGAACAACGCCATTAATAAGTTGATTATGGTAACTAACCCAAATAACAAGATATGTACAATAAAAATGTATAAAAATTGACAACAGAACACAAGCAATGCAAAAAAAATTGCTTAAAAAAAAAAATGCCCGCTATACAGTTTCTGTGATGCCCCACTTCAAGAGCCCACTATTCATTTTAATAGTGAAAAAGCTATGCTACAGGTGACACTTTAAAAAGTCATGAGCTAAAATGGCTTAGCAACGAGAACTTAAAAAATAAACCCTACTAATTAGGGCTGAAAAAGCGAAAATGTAGGATGCATATCATTGCAAATTCTTCATAAGTATATTAGTTGTATTTAAAATACAATAAACACACATTCTTCCATTCATTTTGGACTTCATATGGGCTTTAGTTTGAAGGTTATTCTGTTTCCAGCTTCAGATGTTTCTACCTTTTCTTAAAAGTTGGAAGGCAGAACCAATCTGTCACACCTCCTGTCCACCTCTCCTTGGCATGCTAAATGAGGAAAAGAAACAAAAACAATGTTTGGATTTTTTAAACTGTTGTAGACAAAACAACTATAAAAATGTAGAATAGCCTTATTTCACATGCAAAAATGATGATTGCAAAAGCAACAAAGACATGAGAAACAATCCCATGCTTAGGCTTCACAGGGAAAAGGCTGGAGAGAAGGAGCAAAGCCATATTGGTGGATCACATCACGAATTGGACTGTGGTAAGAATCCATGTGCAGAACGTTAATATAATCTCTGGAGGATGTCAATAAATTTCAGAAATCTCTAAGACTTTGTTTATCCGGTGCAGATTTAATGCATAAAAAGCAGATGTGTGTGTCTGTATGTGGGGGGGTGGGGTTCTTTGCTTGTTTTGTTTTTACTTGGGGTTCGGAGATAATGTAAAGCCTGTGTAATTTGGGCTTTATTCTAACAGCACTTACAGTATAGGATGGATCCTAGTTTTTTATTTCACTCCCCATTATTGCATTTCCTTTATTGTACTTAATTTGTTTCCTAAACTGAGTTTGTCCTAAAATCTGTTGTCTTTGTCAAATTTCCTCCATGGTACAGTATGTAAATAAAGTAATCTTGTAGGAATTGAACACAAAAATGACAGGATTTTTTAGCAGCAAATCTTTTGCAAGCAACTTTAAACAAGGTAGGTCAGCAGGGTGGGGTGAGATGGCGATGCAGGTACATATCCCAGTATGTATAGTGTTCTTGAACAACATCCCAGTACACCGATGGGTAAAAAAAGTGACGGTACTGTTGCATACAGTACTAACCGACCTAAATAATCCTGGAATTAATGCAAGTTGTCATCTGTCCTTTTCCTTGGATATTTTTTCACTAACATTCGTAGATCTCACACTTCATTGCAAAACATAGAACACATCAAAAAGATAACATTTTCTTTTCTGGTATTTTCCAAGTTATGTCCCTCTGCTGCTTCATTGATTTCAATCTGCTTTATGCAACAAAGTCACCACATCTAGATGCTGTCAGTTGCTTGACATATCAGCAGCAATTCGCATGGTGGGCAACAAGCTCCATTCATGTCAGTTCTATTTGCAGCTTGAAGGTTTCAAATCAACATGGCAGACATAGTACTTTATTCCTTATGGGAAGCCAAACAGTGGAACCAGGGTTCCTGCATTCTTCAGCAGATGCTCCCATTGTGAGACGTCCAGGCCCTTTGTCTTTTGTCTAACCAGGACACAAAACTGACCTGCTTTGGCGGAGAATTGCCTGTACAACAGAGGTAGGTACGGCACTGTTCTGGAGCTCAGACAGGAGTGGCGGGAGGTCAGAGCCAGAACACAGGCAGAGAGAGGCAGAGGCTGCAGGTGGCCTGGGCCGGCTTTAGAGATGCAAAGGGAGGATGAATTATGTATGATTTAGTGGTCAATTTAAGGGCTAAATAAAGCATATTTTTAAAACCACACACAAATCTCTTCAGATATTATTCTTTTCAAGGTTAAAAATTAACTTTTTAAAAAAAAGTTTTTTCTTCATTGTACTTGCTCAACCTACATCACAGGCAATCCAGCCCCTGATTGAGTGTCGCTATGCATCTATTAAATGTGTTGCATTGCCTTTATAATCAACATTATCATACCTGTTGCATTACTACAAGTCAGAACCCTGGGCTCCTGAACATGCCTTCACAATTGCATAACATGTAGTGTATATATTGCGCATTCAGAAATACAGGATACAGGAATCCATCTTCCACCATTTGAGCTTAAACATTTGGCTTCACTCTGGCTTCCTATGTTAGACTGAAATGATTGTCTAAAAATTATAGCAAAAGTTTTGAGGGAACACAGAGCCCCAAGCAGCTTTCTTTTAGCTACATTAGCTGTAGATTTGTATTTTGGAGGATTGAGGTGTCTAATGTTTATTTAATATGTGCATTTCGTTTTATTTAGTTAAATTATTGTCATGGCTCTGATGGCTGGCCCCATTGCTAATTTCATTCAGCTGCCTAACTCTGCCCGGTTTCCAATTACTGCTCATCTAAGCCCCATGCTCCTGCTACTAAATATACGGCTCAGTCCCTGCCATTGTGGCCAGATTACATGTATTGGTGTTGGTGCTCTTGTGCTAATGGTTGTTCCGTAGGGTTCCTGATTTCCTGACCTGTTCTGCCTCTTACCTACTGAGCCTGCGTGTTCCAATCTGAACATTCTTCCTGAACTGTCTGTGGACTGCTGGAACCCTGGAGCAGCCTGTTCCTATTCTGATCGGTATCCCTGACCAGACTCCTGGACCTCTGAGCCTTCCTGTTCTGATCAGTTTCCCTGGTATGGCTCGGACTCCTGCTTGTTCTCTGGGGCTGCAGCATCTGGGAAAATTTGGACAACGCCCATGGCATCTTCTTGGCAGCCCACTGGCTGGATCCTACCTCGTTCTATGGAGATGGACTGAACTGTTAAACCCAGTATGTGACTCATATGGATAATCATTCTCCATCAGATAATCATGGTCGCTTACCAGTGTTTTTCTTAAACCAGAGTTTCCAGTGATTAGTGGTGCCGCGTCCTAGCCGCTGATACCACGGATCCACAGCCTGCTTCTATTAAATAAACGCTTTGAATTATCCCACTGTTGGTCTCGACTGAATTCTGGGTCCTACATTCTGAGCTTATAACAGTTACAGAATAACAGGAAATCATATAAGCTCATTATTTTTATCCATTTAAAACACAATGAAAAACATAATGACATGCACATTTCACAATTTCCTTCAGAGCAACTATCTTAAATTTAAATTCAATATGGATTACATTTTCTATTACTTTTCAGAAGTAACCAAACATATAAACAATGTAACATTCTCTTACATTGTCATTAATGAACCTGAAAAAAGACAAAAAAGGTCAAAGAAAAAAGGAAATAGGATATTTGAGCAAATAAAATGCATATTAATTTTCTTACTTACTCGTTCTTATTATTTTTCTTTATTTCTTTGCTTTGAATCAGAAATAGAAGTCTCCCTACGATCAAAAGGAAAGCTGTATAGAAATGGATAAATATTTTTCCGATATAGAAAATACTCCTTTTACCCAACTTCTCAAATGTTCTGTAAAACCTCTATTTTGGCTTCCTTAAAGTTTGCAGATGTTTCTTAGCAGCAAAGTTACTCAGGAGTATCCTCCCGAGTAACCTTGAATAGGAATCATTTACTGGCCAATGTTACCCACAGAATTCCACACTGTCAACAGCACTCTGTGTCTGCCACTCTGGGTTGTATGTTATCCATGCCATAAGGCTGGGAATCAGGAGGAGCTCCTGCATGAAGATAGATGTGCATCTGAGGCGAGGAGGTGGGCAGGGTCGGCAGCCGGCTGTCTGTGTGATTTAACACTGTGTGTAAATCAAGAGCCGGTCTCTGCTCGACCAGCCAGCCTCATTTCAATCTCTCAACAAATCACACTGCACAGGCAGTTAGAAGGGGTAAAGCTATAAAGGAGCCCCAAAAATAATCATCTTCTGAAACTCTCTTTCTTATGCTTTCATTTATTAAGTAGATGAGCTGAGATCTGCTATACATCAAAGGAGACATAGAAAATATGGTTTGGTCCTTCCAGATGATATTGGCATTTTGCTTGGTTAGTCATGTATGAGTTTATGTATGGAAGGTGGCAGGCATTGTCCTTCATACCCATGTTGAAATGTAGAAGCAATTTTGTGCTGGATGTTTAGAGAATTGCAGAAAAGATCCTGCAGAAGGGGAATGAAGTTTCTGTAAATTACAGGTTCGAAACTCCTTTTTATGAAGTGTTAAAAGAGGGTATTAAATTTGCATATCTCTTGCTGTCAGGCAACCTATGTTGAACTAGATATTAGAGTAAACCTGTGCCAGGGAGTGGGTAACCCAGTGATTCACTTCCAACAGATTAATTCAGTGCCCTGTGGAGGGAGTAACATACGCACCAAGCGGGGAAAGAGTCTGTGAAGACCATAGCCTCCTCTGACAGTTCTTACTGAGGTGTAAAACCTGTTTTGGAAGCAATTACCTCAACCCACAACACACAGACTATGCTCAGGACCAATACAGTTAGTTTTAAACATGACGTTAATCATGTTTTAAACACTTTTTGGTCCCTATTTATGAAGAGAACTAAAAATGTTTTAAAGACTGAAAGGGAATGCATCATTTTAACAGCTTTTGTTTTTCAATTATGTTTATGCTTGTAGCTCACTGTAGCTATAATTGTTTCCTTGTCAGAAAACAAGAAATATCCAAAAGAAAGTACAAGACAACCATAGTTGCAGAAGGGGGATGATGTTGCACACCAACTCAGTAATAGTACCCGAGACCAAAGTACAGTAATAACAGCAAGGTTTGGGACAGAGTTAGGGTTAGGGTCTCTTTACCTGTCTTTGCATAAAACTGTTAATTTTAAAAACCCACTGTTTGAGCTACAATTCTGGTGCAATTTAAATAATACAACCAGTAGTATTGAAATGCCCACATTATTTAAATTTACTTTGTTTTGTTCTTGTTTTGATTTTTTGCGTCCTGTTTTGCCAATATAGCTCTGGGAATATATTTGTCCTAGAGCTAGCTGATAGCCCAAAAGCTTTTCACAAGCAAACCATTATGACTGTTGCCATAAGGTTTCACTCACTTTTATGTTAAACTTTATTTAAAATTATTTAAGGAGTAAAATCATATGCAATAGACGCTGAGACAGAAATGGAGGTGAGAAAGATAGAAGGGATGATAACTAAGGGGAGATAGAGAGAGAGACAGGAAAGAGGACATGAAAAGAGAAAAAAAAACCGAAGACAGAGGAACAAGTCACTGGCGGGGAGAATGAGAAAAGGGAGGAGGCAGGCCCTGCTCACATTTGGCCTAGCATGTTCAGTAGGTGGGTGTGGAAGGCAAAGACCCAAACTGACAAATAGACAGAAACAATTTCACATTTATCCAGTCACAGGCACACAATCCCACCCTCAAACCCATATGGACATATACAAGCACTCAACTGAGACACACAGAGGCAGACACTAAACATATTCTTAAAGTCCTCATCCAAACACTATCATCCCAGGACCAATCCCTCTGGGGGCAACAGACTTAGTAGGAGATCCCCAGACCCCACAGTGTGGGAAGGGAGGGATGCAAAAAAAAAAAAAAAAAGCCGGAACCCACGGCATCCCCCACAAGCTGCACACCTGCCCACCACAGATGCCAGAGTAGGTAGCCAACCTGCTGAAGAGCAGCCTCTGTGGACGCTACCCATCTACTTTGCCACAAAAGAAGCTTCACTATTAGCTATTTGACGTAGAAAACAGAGGTGTTACGACCACACTACTGAAAAATTTCAGTCAGCTAGTAACGGCGCTATTTATAACTACTGCCCATCACTCTTGTAGCCTCCCACTGTAATCCACTGCTCTCTTCATTTGTACAACCAAGAATCAGGTCTTGGCTTTCTTGATTAGGCCTTGAGGACGGACTTAAAGTTTGGGACAAAAACAGAGAAATTTAGTACTACTAAGAAAGTATTTTTTATGTGTTTGTTGAAAAGAGATTATTAAGTCTTAATTATCTTTTTTCTTTATTTTGGATGGCTATCCAGTGTTGTAAATATTCAAATCACTTTCAAAAGTTACACTATAAACATAGCAGAAGGAAAACAAACTTTAATCTTCTCCAAAGAGTCGCAAAGTTAGCTTTTGAGAAAAAGCCTGCTAATATGTGGCCGATTTATCCATGACTTACATCCATAATATATATACATATATATGCATATGATCAAAAACCCAAATTGTTTGGCTGGAAGCATTTTCCTTTTCTTTTGTTGTACCTAATCCCTCTTTTGATTTCCGTTGCATGTATTCTTTGTAGTCTGAGAAGCTTGGCCAGTGGGATAGATGTGTCCATTCTGAGTTAAAGAAAGATGTCTATTTAGCCATGTGGTATCTGGCTCAAGGTCTCTGTTCAGATGGTCCCTTATACTGTTACCTCCAAGGGAGACTTTCTACAGAAAGAGAGTGAGAGGTTAGGTTTTCAAGTCTTTATAGCAAGTGCAAGAACCTCATCTGTCCTTTGAACCCTGTGGGTGTGACTTGAAGAGGGTGCTGCAGCTTTAGAGAAAACAAACCTGTATATGATTCAAACTACAGTATGTTGAAAAATAAGGTTGGGCTATAAACCAAGATCATTTCGGACATTGGGAAGCAATTTATATATATTATCCAGGGGATGCAATTTTGCTCAGCAGTTAGCTCTCAATCACCAATCTCTCATGGCTACAAACCCCCTTCACCCAATACAGTATAACAAGACACTCCTAGAGGGGGACATGCAATTCCCCCCACGGTGTTTGAGGACAAAAGCAACTTAGTCATGCCTGCTGTTTTTTTGGGGGGGTCTGATATCTGGCCAGTTCGCATTCGAGAGGCGCCAGCATTGAAGACTCATGCTACTGACCAAAGGCTAAGCTGACCTGATGGCTACACCAGAACCAAATGGCTGCAAAACAGACCATTGGCAACATTTCTCTCTGAGTTGTGGGACTTCCAGATGCCTGGAGGAGATTGGAGGCATGAAGCTACTGAGAACAAAGAGCTGTAGCCTGCTGCCACATAAATGCGGGAGAAAATCTGAAGCCTTCTAAAGACAGATAGAGGTAGAGGTCTGGCACAAGTCACAAAGAGTTTCTAGCAACATCATTTCTTAGATTTTTGATAATTTCATGTGTATATTGTTGGCTAATGTAAACAAAATGGATAGCATAGTACACCATGATAACAGGTTTGAGATTTTGTTTATAAATCTAGAACAGGCTTTATTTCACTAACGGTTTAAACACTAATATAACACAAACGTTAATATGTTTTCTTATATGATGAATACATTTTGATAACCAAATTATGACCAAAAAGTAATTTCATATTTACTACCTACTAGCTTAGAAGGTTAAGAATCAATTAACTAAAGGTTATTGGTTTCTAATTTGGCAAATCATTTAATAAAACAACGTTTTCCCGAATCTTCTTGGATTTACTTTGTGAAATGGTTTGAACACATTCCAATTCTTCCAAATTAACCTAAATCTACTTTGACCTCTTTCTGAAACTTTGGTTCTCATACATATAATCCATGTTGAAATCATTGCATCATCACATTGATTATTTTTTTTCCGTCTTCTTTGTATAGTAGCTTAGTTTAGTTGAGTGACACAAATTATGTCAAGATTTTAACTTAATATGTCTGACTTGGAGCTGCATGATTTTTTGGGGGGTTAATAAACTTATATTTTGAATGTATGTGGTGAATGTATTCAATATATGTGTAGAGTTATCTATTTAACCATGATTTGAGCTATATTCACACTTTATTTTGTTCTAACACACAGCCACTTTGGGATGTATTCACAAACAATATACAATACTGTGGTGGGCAATAAATGAATAAAACATTAATACAACATTTACATCACCACTTTTTTAAGGTAAACTGAACTGATTGAACATGAGTTTTTAAACTTCTGCATTATCACTGTGATATTTTTGGCTCTTGAAAACCCTGACTTACACACTCAGACACGTTTAGTGAAC